AAAAAAAAAAAAAAAAAAAGAAAACCCAAAGATGTTAACACTGTTAGTATCAGGCTGTAGAGAGTTTCTCCTTTCTTTTCTATGTTCTAAAGTGTTGCAATGTTAATATGTTATTCTATAAGGAAAATTAATTAATAATAAAATTGCAGAGATTGTCAAAAAAAAAAAAGAAAATTCATGCAAACAGTTTCAAAATATATTGATTCAGGGAGGCACCTGTGGCTCAAAGGAGTAGGGCACTGGCCCCATATGCCAGAGGTGGAGGGTTCAAACCCAGCCCCAGCCAAAAACTTCAGGGAAAAAAAAAATATATATATATATATGTATATATTCATAAAATGAAAGCAGAAAAGGAAATATTTATAAATCAATAATATATAATTTAAAGTAGAGACAAATAACTAAATTTATGAATCACATGTTTTAAGTAGACAATTCACTACTTTATCAACACGGAAAAGATTATATATTCAAGTTGGACATAAAACATTTGTTTTATCTTCTGATAATATGAAGGATAACCTAAAACTCAGCCTTACCCACACACAGGTATATACTATCTAGTTATCTTTACACAAAAGAGAGGAAAGTCAGTACAGCAGAATCAGAAAGGCAACAAAGACAAACATGGTCTCCTACTCTCAGAAGCTCTGGAAGTCATTACTACCCAAGAGAAATACTGGGAACCTACTTATCCCTGATCTCAATTATTTGTATATAAATGGAATAATATAACTCAAGGATAGCTAGTTGTAGCAAATATGTTATGGTACCCAGGAACCCTTCAAAGGAAACAAAAAAGCCATTTTTTATCAAGTTTAATAACAGGGTAACAACTGATCAACTATTAAAAGGTTTTTCTAACATTTCTCCTTTTGAATAATTAATAAAATAGAAGATGTGTTGTCCAACACAATTGGAAAATTTTACAGAGACATTTCTAATACAATTACAGTCTCCAGCATTTGGCAGCCCAGGTACTCCTTGGCTCACAGCAGCCTAACTCCTGTCTCTGCCTCTGTCTTCAGGGCCGCCTTCTCTGTCTCTCTCTGTCTCCTCTTCTTCTCATAAGGACTCATTGGTTTTAGGGCCTACCCTAAACCTGAATGATTTCATCTTGAGATTCTAAACTAATTATATCTTCAAAGACTCTACTTCCAAAAAAGGTCATATTCTGAAATTCTGGGTACACATGATTTTAGGGGTACACAATTGAACCTACATGCTTCTCAAAGAAAGAGTGCTAGGCTCATCAGAAGATCTATCTAGCTTAAAGTCCCAGATCTGCCACCTCTTTGCATTGTGATTTCGGATCAAAACTGGCTTATTTGTCACAGACACAATCTACTCTTCCTAATTTTCCACGAAAATATAAGGAACGAGTTAGCAAATGAGCAAGTGCCTATGAAAGTGCTTTGCAAACTACATTGCATTATATAAAAAGAATATTTTGTTAGAAGTTAACATTTTATCTTTAATAGTTACTCTAATGCCTATTAATATTCAAGATTCCGCTTGTATCATAACCTGAAAAATGTTCACGATCTTCTTTGGCATCAATTTACTGCTATGTTTGAAAATACATTACTAAAGGAGCTCACATGCTGACTTAGGTAAGCACGGGTAAGTTAACTAGGATATAAGAACCTGCACTGAACTGGCCCATGTTCCTTCTCTCGTCATTTACTACTTGTTTGTGAACTTCATCTCCCCCGAGAGATAACCAACCACTTACTTCCTCTCTAACCCTCCTTCACTTCTACTCCATTTGTATTCCCTCTTCCACAGGCCTAAACCTTCTACAGGTTTCAACTCTAGCATTGAAAATCCCCCTATACACATTTTCAGTGAAAGAAAATTGAATTTAGTCATTTGGAAAACACTAAACTAGTTAATAAAGAGATGAAGTTGACCAAAGGGTGGTTCATCTTTTCCCACTGTCCTATATCCATGTAGATGGTCAATGTTTGTGCGTTTGATTGATTGATTAAAGTACACTGTTAGCTTCTGGAAAGCAAGAATTGTAGCCTGTTCATTTCTATTTCCAAAAGCACCAGGCAGTGTGCTCTGCATATAGTAAAATGCTGATAAGCATCTGTTGATTTTAATCTCATACAGAACAAAAAGAACAAGAAGCTGGCAAATAAACCTTCAAAAAATTCTTTCTTTAAATCTTTGATCAAGATTTAAATCCTGTACCCTCTGGAATCAGGTATTTATTTCTTGATACAATTAATGAATTATTTTTCATCTTAATTTTCAGCAAAACAAAAACATGCAAAAGAAGGGCATTGCGGGGGGGGGGGGCTAGCTAGAAGGTTTAGGAGATGAGCAGCAGATGGACACCAGAAGTGAAACAAGAAGGGCCGAGGTCCGACACCCGCACTGGGCTGGGTCAGCAGCAAAGTTTATGAAGCAAAACCTAAACTAAGAGAGAAAACACACTGACATCATTTTCTGAAGGGATCTTAGATAACTAGGAAATGTATCTTACAGTGCCTTTATCATTTCTTCTTGCATCTTTTGTAAGGAGTCCAGAAGAAGAGGAAGAGTGATATCGTAATACTGACTCTGGTGAAGCTGTGCCCCTTTCAACGCCAACACATACTGGTTATGCAGCACGTGAAGTTTCATCGTGGCTTTGTCATAACGTTCCTTGGCCTTTTCAGTTTCTTTCCCTGAAGAAAACATTAAACAAAGATAGCAAACAATATATTTTTTAAAGTTTTGTCTTCACTACATTCTAACTAGACTACCACTATTTTATGTCATTTTGCACATTTTATGAATTATCAACAACAGTTTTTTGAACACATGCGCTCAGGTTTATGCAAAGTACTGCTGATCTGCCAGTACTCTGCACAGAGGCTGCTATGAAGGAGGCATGCAGGATATTCATGAGAAGAAAGGTCAATACGCAACACAAAAAATACAGACACGTGATCCGGCTCATCTTCAAGGAGCTTACACCAAACTGATACAACAGTGCACCTGAAACTATAAAACCAAGAAAATAAGAAAGTTTGTAACTAATGTTAAATTTTGTGGTCTTTTTTATAGATGGGGGTAGTCAGATGAGGCTCTGTGGAAGAGACAGAAATTACAAGATAGGGCATGTTTAGAAAAGCGTAAGAAAGATAAACTAGATGAGGTTCTCCCCTCTGACCTTTCCTTTCTCCTTTCATCCCTTCCTTCCATTCAGTGAATATTATTAACTGAACACTACTAGGAAATGTGCTAAACACTGGGAATTCAGTAATTGGCAAAAAGAATCCTTGACTTAGAGCGTGATTAAATGGAATTTTAAGTGACTACATGGAAAGAATAAACAGCACTACCTAGTCAAGCAAACAGATAAGCTTGTGTAAGGAGAAAGTAAGTTCTGAGGAAGTTAAGAAAATACGTCTAGATAAGCAGAGCAGTGTGAGGTGACTGAAAATCTGGCAGAGAAATTTAGACTTCATAGGGTAGAAGTCTGGGAGTTAGTGATAATATTATAAATTAAAACTTTTTGTGGTTCGTTTACTAAAGGCACTTACAAAAATATTTACAGATTGCCAACATAAATGAATGAGTATTAAATAAATGAAAATTTTAAGTGAACCTTAAACTTTTGATACAAATGGAACAAAATATTTCTCATCAGTTTAGATTAAGGAAATAAAGTTTTCAAAATATTTAAGTAATTCATGCCCTCCTTCCAAATAAATCCCCCAAATGAATCCTCTCCCCAAAAATAGATCCTATGTTGAGAATTTTTAATGCTCTCTTCTGCTGCTATTCTGCTTAGGCTCAGCAATAATCTGAGTATTTCTCACATGAGAATCTCTCTATCCTAGAGCAAAAAGCATAGAAACTAAGTGAAGGGTTTTGCAGAGAGGGGAGAGTTCAGACTCTCAGACCATGCCCAGGAAGGGCAAGCAAATGAGTATAACTGCCTTGCCTGTCTCCTTCTGAGGCACAAGAACTATATCTAGGTGGCATAGAAGGAAACAAATCTTCCAGCAGACTAGAGCATCTCTATGACCAACGAATTCTAGTGTTCCCAAGTACCAGAACCACCAGTGACTTCTAGGGAGCTACACATAATTATTTTACATAATTCTTGAGCCACAGTCCATTAATCCATTAGACTATAGACCATTACCTAGCTTCTCACATGTGGATATTGATCATTGTCCAAGTTAGTCATAAAATGTTCCCTTCAGGCCAGGCACGGTGGTTCACCTGTGATCCCAGCACTCTGGGAGATAAGGCAGGCTGATCACCTGAGTTCACAGGTTGGAGACCAGCCTGAACCAGAGAAAGACATGAGAAAATAATTGTTTTACTAGAATATCTCTCCTGACCCCTCTTATTGCTAACTATAAACAGGTTCAAACACTAAAGGAGCAAGCAAGTATATTAATTCAATTCTGACCTGAAAAAAGTCAGAAAGAAAACAACCAGAGGCAGGGCAAGATAGAAGACTACAGCCAGCTTTCCACAGAGGCTCCCGTCCAGAAGGAGAAATACAAGACAGAAGTTTAGCAAGTAAGGCCATGGTTTGGAGCTGAGCCAAGAGACAAAACTGAAGAATGCACATCAATCCTGCTGAGATGAGCCGCGACCCCCAAGGATACAAACAAAAAGTACTAAATCCATCGCCAGGCGGACAGGAGTCCCCGCCCCCATGAGAAAGGCTCACAGTAAACTCCATACAAACAAGAGAGGAGAGTTCAAACATCCTCCCATTCCATCCCATAGGAGAGACCCTCTAAAAACTGGACCTTCTACCCCTACAAGGGTGCCATGGCACTCTCCTACCAGGCATAAAACTGTATAAAACTGTATATATTCTCTACTTGTAACTCTGAACTCCCAGCACTCCCCTCCACTCTCACCCGGAGGACTGGAAGCCTGTCCCCCATGGAGTCCAGACTCTTGGGCATTTTCTCGAGAGGTATGGACAGGAAAAGGGCTCTTGCTGGTCTGTGCTGATTGTGCAGCACAGGAGTAAGGAGAGGACGGTCAGCTGAGAGGGAACCATACAGGAGCAGGGGCAGTGCCCCAAGGTGCAGAGTAGCTCCTGGGGCTATTCCGGACAGACATACCCTGTCTCTCTGGGCAACCAGAGGAAGCCAGGCACCTTCTCCAGCGGCAGCCACTGGCAGATGGATCTGGGACGTGAGTAAAGGGAATGACCTGAAGCAGTAGCAGCCTGGACAGAGCACCGAGACCAGAATACACGTGCATACAGAGCCAGCAGACTCCCAGCATGGAGCTAAGCCAGAGGACTACTTTACTGGGGCTAAGAGGTACCCTGCCATCAGGGAATCATAGTTGAGACAAAGGCGGGCAGGCAGAGGCTGGAATGACAGCTCAGTATGAGCCCTAACTGCTTGCAGCTGCCCAGAACTGAGTCTCAGTTTCTGTTACCTCAAGTAGCATGTGATCCACAGGGGAATATAGCTGGGACAGAGGAAAATTTATCACTTTACATGCCTACATTCGAAAAACAGAAAGAGAGCATCAACAAGCTTACAAGCCATCTTATGGAATTGGAAAAAGAAGAACAGTTCAAGCCAAAATCCAGCAGAAGAAAAGAAATATCCAAAATTAAATCAGAGATTAATGACATTGTAAAAAAGAATCATTCAGAAAATTAATAAAACAAGGAGTTGGTTTTTTGAAAAAACAAATAGAATAGATAAAACCTTGGCCAGACTAACTAGAAATAAAAAAGTAAAATTTCTAGTAACCTCAATCAGAAATGATAAAGGGGAAACAACAACTGATGCCACAAAGATACAAGAGATTATCTGTGAATACTACCAGAACCTCTATGCCCAGAAATTTGACAATGTGAAGGAAATGAATCAATTATTTGGAATCATACCCTCTCCCTATACTTAACTAGGAAGATACAAATATCTCGAACAGACCAATTTCAAACTCTGAGATCAAAGAAACAATAAAAAATCTCCCAAAAAGAAAATGCCCTGGTCCAGATGGCTTCACAACAGAATTCTGTCAAATCTTCAAAGAAGAGCTTATTCCCAAACTACAGAAATTATTCCAAAAAACTGAGGAGGAAGGAATCTTCCCCAACATGTTTTACAAAGCAAACAACACCCTGATACCAAAACCAGGAAAAGACACAACTAAAAAGGAGAACTTCAGACCAATTTCACTAGTGAATATAGATACAAAAATTCTCAACAAAATCCTAGCCAATAGATTACAGCTTATCATCAAAAAAGTCATACATCATGATTAAGTAGGTTTCATCCCAAGGATACAAGGATGGTTTAACATAAGCAAATTCATAAATGTTATTCACCATATCAACAGAAGCAAAATCAAAGACCATATGATCCTCTCAATAGATGCAGAAAAAGTAATCAATAAAATCCAGCATCCTGTTCTAATTAGAATACTGAAAAGTATAGGCATATGTGGCACATTTCTTAAACTGATCAAAGCTATCTATGACAAACCCACAGCTAATATCTTACTGAATGGAGTAATACTGAAAGCTTTTACACTTAGAACTAGAACCAGACAAGGTTGCCCTCTGTTTCCATTACTATTCTACACAGTGCTGGAAGTTCTAACCAGTACAATTAGGCAAGACAAGGAAATAAAGGCATCCAAATGGGAACAGAGGAAGTCAAACTCTCCCTCTTTGCTGACAATATGATCTTATACTTAGAGAACCCCGAAGACTCAACCACAAGACTCCTGGAAGTCATCAAAAAATACAATAATGTCTCAGGATATAAAATCAGCATCCACAAGTCAGTTGCCTTTGTATACACCAAAAACAGCCAAGATGAGAGGCTAATTAAGGATACAACTCCCTTCACCATAGCTTCAAAGAAAATGAAGTAACCAGGAATATACCTAACAAAGGAAGTGAAGGACCTCTATAAAGAAAATTATGAAATCCTAAGAAAGGAAATAGCAGAGGATATTAACAAATGGAAGAACATACCATACTCATGGCTGGGAAGAATCAACATTGTTAAAATGTCTATACGTCCCAAAGCAATCTACTGATTCAATACCATCCCTATTAAAATATCAACATCATACTTTGAAGATGTGGAAAAAATGATTCTTCATTTGTATGGAACCAGAAAAATACCCGTATAGCTAAGGCAGTTCTTAGTAATAAAAGCACAGCTGGGGGCATCAGCATACCAGATTGTAGGCTGTACTACAAGCTCATAGTGGTCAAGACTGCATGGTACTGGCACAAAAATAGAGACATAGACATTTGGAATCAAATAGAAAACCAGGAAATAAAACTAACATCTTACAATTACCTAATCTTCCATAACCAAACAAGAACATACCTTGGGGAAAAGACTCCCAATTCAATAAATAGTGCTGGGAGAACTGGATATCCACATGTAAAAGACTGAAACTGGACCCACACTTCTCTCCATTCACAAAAATTAATTCAAGATGGATAAAGGACTTAAATTTAAGGCATGAAATGATAACAATTCTCAAGGAAAGCACAGGAAAAACACTGGAAAAATATCAGACGGGAGAAAAAGTTCATGAAGAAGACTGTTGTGGCAATTGCAACAACAACAAAAATAAACAAACGGGACTTCATTAAACTGAAAAACTTCTATACAGCTAAGGAGACAACAACCAAAGCAAACAGACAACCTATACAATGGGA